AACTCCCCCACTCCTTTCACAACGCAGCACCTCAAGTATACCCTCAGATTACTTAGCTTCAACACCAACATCTGAGCAAATACGTGAAAATCCCTTTAACCCCCCAATCCCACCGCACGTCTACCATATTGGGCAACACACTCTTATACACAAGGTGAACCAAACTTAGTGAATGATCCAATAGATATTTCTACGGATACAACACTATCATCACTACCAGAAACATTATCACTACCGTCAACACCATCATTAAGTCAAATCTCACCGACACTTTTCTCTTTAAAATTTCCAAATAACTTCGACGCTAGATATCGAGAACAATCAACATCAAATATCCCTTTACGATTAGATTGGAACACATTCGTAGCACCCCCACCATTATTTGGACAACATCAAGAAAGTAACCGACTCCACAGTTGGGCACTCAATAGATTACAATATACACAAGATATCCACGAAGATATTCGAGAACACAATATTCAAATACTTCAACAGAATAGTCTCCATTTACAATTTGAAATCACGATCAAACTTAACAATATTGTACAACATCTCTACCCATTAAATCCACCAAATATAACAGCTCAATCGCTACCACCACCCACCATTTATAACCACTGAAGTATTATAAAAATACGATAGGTATACGAAAAACACAATTGTTTACATAACATTTTATAACCCATACTCAGGATTATCATACACATGTATATTCTAAAATTATTAACATTTCAACACATCTTTTTTCTAATATTTTCCGACCAAAATACAAATCCATTTCCTCGCATAGGACCCCAGGATTTATTAGTAACACACTATGATTGTGAAGAAAACGAGCAAAAAACACTACGCAAATATGCAATAAATCAAGTATCACAATGCGAAACAGAACCACAAGCTATAGAAACTACAAATGTAATAGCAACATTGTATTCAAAAGCCCGAGCAACAACATTCACAGGTTATAAATTTACAGCAACCTTTTCCGAAAAGAAAGTACATTGTTCACAAGTTTCAAACGGAAATAAAAACCGACTTGACCACGAATCGTTTTACCAAAGTAACCTAGAACGAATTTTACATCTAAATCCCGATGATTGTAAAAATGAAATACTCAGACTAAATCTAACAAGAAATAAAAACACAGACAGAACAATAGTAAATTTTCATGTCTTTGCCGATTCTGTACATCAAGCAGAACTTGAACGACAACAAGGACATATGAAATTAGACGAAAAATACCCATATAACGGCGCACACGGAAGATTACTTATGACATACACGATAAACACTGGATACCACACATTGGAATAAATGACCCCTCAAACTGCAAAGCAGACACAAAAAATAAAGGATATCAACAAATAATGTTTTTTGATTGGAAAATACAACTCGAAAAAATACAACTCACACGAGATTTAACTGATAACACAATGATCTATCAAGGAACTAGATTACCTTGCAAAAATGATCAAGGTTATTGTCACCCTACAACAAGGACCCAAGCAACAATTGTTTGGTTTCCCGAAGATACATGCACAGTATTCCAAGTAGCAAAAATACACGCTCGAATGATAAAATTTCATGAAAAATATTTTATAGAATCAATTCCATAAGAATAAAAAACCCATCCCGAAAACAAAGTAATGATTTTAGAAACATTCATGATATAGAAAATAAATTAACACGTTTCCAAATCTATCAAGAAACAGAATTTGCATGTAAATACAGAAATCCACTTTATAAAACACAATACTCTGAAATACTTGTCGAATACGAAAAAGGTTTCGACATGACCACTGGAAAAATAAAATTTGACCCTTATGCCACAAGTCATCCTATAAATGAAGGAACATCATACATCCCAGTTAATTTTCAAAAAAGCACAGGTCAACCTGGTGGAAAACTCAAACCACATGACAGTAAAAGCACACGTTTACAAGAACTATCACTAATGAATAGCATCTATTTTGGTAATATTCATTATGATATCCACTTAGATATGAAGTTAGACTACACAATTAGTCGAATTTTTCAAGAAATGTCACTCACCGAATTAGAAACACTCCATCAACTATGCGAATTAGAACGAACACAAATCTTACAATCACTCGCACTAGCAGTACTAAAAATACCTTACGCAGGATACTTATTATCAGGAAACAGATCAAATTTTCTAGATTACAAAGGAAACATTTTATGGTTTTATACTTGTACCAAAAAAGTATCACCTCTATATGTTTTTGAAGACAAACGTTTTTATAAAAGAATCCCTATTTTCTATAAAAATAAAGTACATTTTGTCGACACACTTTCAAGACGAACATATTTTTGGGATACCGAAGTGCCATGTGATCAGAAAAAAGCCACAATGTAGTACAATTAAATCCCGATGAAGATAAATACTATCTCCTTACACCATACCCTACATTAATGCAATCACTCAAAAAGTTTGCACCCGAAAGCATCAGAGCCATTGCTCGTAATCCAAATATTGATTTACAATCATTTGGAATGTTTTCTAAATCAGATATCCAACATCACATTAGAACACAACAGTTTCAAGAATTATTAACACAAATGGAAACGATACAACGACAATCAATTGACCAGAATTTAAGAAAACTTGCCGAAACCGCAGGATTCGCAGACATTTATACACAAGACTATAGCGGATATTTTAAAGACTACATAGCTTCATTTCCGCAATATACATTAAACACACCTAACGACACTAATGACACACGCAATTTTGTAGATGAACATGTTTTAATGCCAACACTTCATTGGACAGCTTATTATAGTTTTACTAACCCCCTTTGCCTACCACTAACAAATACTCATGACAGCATAGAAAAGAACAAAAACATGTTATATAGTCTCACCACAACACTAACACCTCGACAGTTTACTTACGTTGGATATAAAAAGTTACTAAAAACATTCACTGCACCCCGAGCTAACGAATTTGCAATAGAATAGTACGATCATAATATCATCCGCCCTAATCAAGACCAATTTTTAGATGAAGACCGCTTCGAAGACCCGCCGCAACTAACGGAAAAATGTTTCATCAAAAGATCATACCTATTCACACTTAATATTTTTGATAGAAAGAAAGACCACATTATTTCAGAATCACTAGCTGATATTCAAGCATACGAGAGCTTCTATGATAAATTTCAGTTATTCTCACTAACCTTTCACTTTTTTTCACCACAGGAGCGCGATTTGCACTGTTCCCACAATATTATGTTACGCACTAAGCAAACGCACACATATACATACTATTAACCCAGCTTAAAACTGGATAATTTATTCTTTTGAAGACTATTATAAAGTCTAAGAAAGAAATAATAAAACACAAAAAAATCGCAAGACAAACCCATACCAAAAACAATTTGATTTTTGAAAAAAGGACACAACCAAAGTAACTTAAGAAAGACCAACATAAAACGTTATCACAAAACAGGACCTCTCAAAGAAACAGCATGAAATCATACTCCCACTCCTGGCCTAACCCACCAGAGAGGACGTCCTGAGCATGCTCTATAGCCGGCCTAACCCACCGCGCTACATCCACGCTTTGTGACCACACTTCTATTTTTAATAAGAGGTACTCAAGGGTGAGTAACTCTTCAAAAAAACCGAACTAAAACAAAACGCTTTCGTGAAAACAACTAACTAAATTCATGATTAAAAAACCGAACTAACATAATTTTATAAAATGTAAATCATACTTTGCAGTATATAGATCATACACAACAACAAAGACGAACATCCAAAAACTAGATGACCCCATCACACTAGAACAAAAGAATGGCTAAACAAAACCGACATGCCGTCCACAACCACGACTCAAAGAATTTAGAGTACGACTTGACTTCGCAGAAAATGAATTCATTGAACTAGACCAATGACCACCTCGATGCTCAAGTATAAGTACAGATCCGAGTTACAAGGCATCCCTTCCACACACGATCTTCACGCCATTCCCAGACGAGGTTGCACACAAAACAAGTTCTCTACATAATACAGAAAAACCTGACATAGCAAACCATTTTGAAATCGGATTGAATTCATTGGGGATCACAGTCGTTGTCGAATGACGAAACAATAACTTCCTATCCCTGATTCCAGCGTCCTGGAACGTTCTTCCTCAAGAGGAACCGGATAAGAAAATGATGTTCGCCAAATACCAACGTTCATCATCCATCCTTCAAATTGCAGAGAAGAAAGATAGTTCCAAAAAACTCTGTAAAACCCGGATGGGTGGAATCTGATCTAAACTACATTTTATTATTGGATAAATTAGATATTATACCACTGTAAAGTATTTAATATTAACCAATCATAATCCATCCAACTAACAACCCACTTATTTGTAAGTGCTGAAATTACTTGTAATTTCAGCACCAGAGAGATTTGAATTTAACTTAGAAATTAGTTGCCTCTCCCAGAGAATTTCAGCTGCCGCAATAAGCCAGTATACTCTAGATCTATTGAGCCTAGCAGAGACTAGTTAAACACCCTGAGACTAGTAGATATAAGAGTAAGATTAGGATCGGTATTAGACTAAGAAGTTGCACGAATCTATCCGGCCGAAAATAAGATAGCGTGACGAGCAGACGGTGTACCCTATCCGAAATTACTCTATGAGTTAACCACTTTGGCTATAACTCAAATGAGATATCCCTTATTCATAAGTTTTTAGGGTTATTACAGTGAAATTCATCTCTGATTCATGGATAATTTATGCCTGATTCAGACCTGACAATTTAGCGCTAGTCCAGCGATGATTTAGCCCTGATTATGGGTAAAGTGAACTTGATCATAGACTGAATCATAGATGGTAATTGCTACGATATCACTGAATTAGTTCTGTCAACTCAACCCGGACGTTCATAGAATTGAAATGAAAATTTAAACCACGCATGATCAATGAAAGGAAAAAAGTTGATTGAAGTTACTGCAATTAATATTCAAAAAATAGGACTCACGGCACCCCCGAACGCGACGATGAATTCTAGCACTTGGGTCATGTTCCTCTGTTCGTAGAGGTCATTCACATCAAACATGGACTGGTTCTTCACGCCTAGTTTGCCTGCCTCCCGCATCACTATTTCTATCATCTCACGCTGTTTCGTCTAGACACACAATTATTCAAGGTCAAATCAAAAGTCACAAAAGTGTCACGCATTCAATTATAAACATGGGGCTGAAGAACTGAGCAGAATGCCTCCAAGGGCAGAACGCTAAATCAATAGAGACTAAAGTCAAGCATGCTTACAGACCTTTGCAAATTCGCCCACGTATTTTTTCTTAGGCTCAGCAATGGCTCCCGGGTTGAATCTATTGATCATGCTGAAGCATACGAACATGTAAAATAATTCAAAAGTTTAACCGTTTAAAAGCTGTCAACGCCAAATTGGCCAAAGAAAAAGCGACTGCGCGTTATCTATTTATATCAAGCAGATTCGGTTGTCATACATATTTGGTTTTAATGGTCTCGTAGATGTAATTCTGTGATGGTTATTTATGTGTGAGAGAGAGAGGCCGTACTATCTGAGTATGGTTCCGTCTTTGAGGTACAGATGGATGCCATTGCCCCCGTATGGCCACTCGTACTCGTCTATGACCACGCCCAGTTGTGCCTGCAGCCACTCCCTCACATTTCGCTCCACCTCCACACTGTACTTATGCATGATCTGCAACAGCAAATATAGAGCATGATCTTTAAAAACCAATTTTCCAAACATAAGCTGGCCGACCAATTTTGGTTCAAACGACTGGTCCGCAGATCAAATAAACCGAGAAGTTTCTGAGTTGACTTATTCAGCTATCATCACCTCACTCTGGGTGCTCGCTTCAATTTCTTATCGCTTCTCATAAAATATCTTAATCGAATCATTCTGTCATCCGAAAACTATCCTTTATACCAAAAAGTCCAGTAAAGCGTCGCATGTTCAAACGGTTTACCTAAATCAATAGTAGTAAAATGCTGAACCATTAAACCGTTTTTCGATGCCGCGAAAACTTCTTAACAATTTTTTCTTCCAGTTCACCAAATCGCGACCTAAAGTGGCTTCTTGTGAAACACCACACGACTCTTTTATATTCTCGGCAAAACAAACTAGCCAGATTAGAGTTGCCACGAAGTTAAAGTCTGAAAATAAATATAGCACGTTTTCCTTGACAGGCTACATTAATTCATTAATGTTGCTTTTTTGCCATTTCTATACACTGTCACAGTTTCTAATGAATTTGATTTCCGCGGATTATGGATAACTTCCGATTACTTAAGACAAATTTGAGCTGATTTGCTGACTGAATGCGCTGTTAATGAAAAAAAGTTCATCTTTGCCAATCACATATTCAGAAGCACACTTTTTCTCGGAACATTTTTTCTTAATTTTTGCGGACCAAGTTTTAATTGAACTAAGCTCTAATTAGGTCGGAAAAATACGCTAAAACTAATGTGAGGTAGATATGCAGGGAGCAACTAACTAGACTGAATCGAGCCTTATTTGCATCGGTGCTTTAAACGGTAAAAAAAACTTGATCCGATTATTTGCAACAGGTAGACGATGAAATGGGTCGGAATTTTTTTTCTATTTTGACTTTCAGAATCACAGATTGAAGTACATTTTCAACATAAGTATTTCATAGATTTAAAAGATTGCTTAAATGTACTGGCTGCTTTTTGAAATATCTGAGTGATTGTTTGTTTTGTTTTTGAAGAACCTGATTAAATAAAAAAATAGAAAAATGTTGCAAGCACTTGCAATGTCAATTAAGAAATATTATTTTTTAATAGTTACACTTAAACACATAACCAAGGAAAAATCGCACTCTTATTCCGAAGTTCTCAGGTTTTTTTGTACATTCAATGAAACGTTTTGTATAAAATAAGACTGATCGTAGTAAGGCTAAAACTGAGTTTTTCAAATCCTTTTTAACTCCTCTGGTGTTTTTATTAAAAAATAGTTTTGAAAATTTTTTAAAACTTGGAACTTTAAATGTGCGAAGTGGTGTATTTGTGCAAAAAACATTGTTTGGACCAGTTTTCTGACAGAATTTTCTGTGAAAAAGATCAAAAATGCATACGAAAATTGGTTTTTTTTAATTTTTGTTGATTGATTAGCCCAATAGTCTGTAAAAAAACAATGACTTTTTTTTGAATGGCAAAGGTTTGAAAAAATGTTTTCCATTATGGCCGATAAACTTCAACGAAAAGTCATCACCGAAAACCATCGTGAACTTTGGTACCTAAGAACAATGTTTAATATTGTTGTAACTTTTTCCCGCCTGTGTCAATTTCTTGATAGCGGCTTCTCGGTTTCAATTGAATAGATTTAATCATAAATTTTTGGATAATTACATTCTAGGAAATATGGTTTTTTGGGCATGCTTTGAGATAATTTTTTGCTGATTATCTAGAGTTTGTTTCTGTTGGTATCTAGCTTATGGGTAGAAAAGACTACCCGAGAAAACAAAAAAATAATATTAATCTTTTTATAGAGAAGATGGTTTTAAAAGTGCAAATAAAGAAGCTTACTTTAGATAAATGTTTACTGATAGATTAGTCCATTGCATTGCATCTAAGAATGTAACTGATTTTTTCGTTCTCCGCTCAATGAGACACCTGAAAACGGGCCGTGCTGTCTTAATTGTGTTCTCCCAAACGATTCCGATTTGTATTTGTAAACTTCTATAAATAACTCTGAAACTAGATTTTGTTTCGAAACAGTTTATTATTATTAGTATTATGATTCAAACTTGTCGAGAAACAAAAGCAGCAAGCAAACTTATCAATTTTTAAAAAGGGAAGGATGTTTTCCTACTAAATAAAACACATGCAACTACTGAAATTATACGAGTTTTTGTCTTAGTTTTGGTTGATTCTAATCTAAATGAAAAAAAAAATCAATCGATCAATCTCTTCAAACATTTGTTTGATAGCGAGAAAAAACTAAAAGAAGCAAAAAAAACTCCTGCTGTCTCTCTACTGGTCGAAAAATGGTTTCACAACAAAAACATCCCGGGATTTAAGAAAGTGAACTTTTTCTCTAAATTAAGGACACTTAAGGTCAAATTGAGCAAAACAAAATGACCGAGAAAAAAATTTGATACTCCTTGACCGTAAACCATAAAAGTTATGAAGTTTTTCTCTCATTTTTATTATTTGAAATATATAATTTTGGCCTGTTTATTGAAAAGAAGGGGCGAAAAAAATAGTCATGAAGAGGGCGGTTTTCATTACTGGCAGGGTTTTGGTAAATAAAACAGTGGACAAAACATTGAAGAAGCTTGAAAGCAATTTGATTGTCTCAAAATGATCATGAGACAAAGTCTTATTATAATGATGAAGAATTAAAATGAGAAAACTTGCCAAACTCGAAATGAAGAATTTTTTTTTTCCGTCCCAGTGTTGTTTTTATAACTAATTTTTTCCAGGACCAACCTCCTGTATTGCAAGCTCTTCTTTCCGGTGTTAATAAAAAAGACTAACCCCACAAAGAAAGGTGCTTTGTCGGACGCCTTCCCCTTTCAGGGATTCGATCCCCCGCCGACCCAAAGGGTCCCACTTAGTACTATTTTGAGATATCCATTTTTGGCTGACCGACCCTAAAAATGTTTCTAAAAGCGCCTTTGGCGCCAATTTTTACAAATTTTGAGGGGGATGCGCGCGCCGAAAAAAAACGTAACTTTGACTGCGGCGCAGAAAATTTGGCCAAAACAACGTCTTTTCAGTGCTTTAGTAGAGCTCGCAAAATCAATTTGGTCTACCTAAAAAAAATCGTCAACATTTTCGAAAATTTTTTGAAAATCCGCACCCCCCCCCCCCCGAGAAAACCTTAGATCCGCCCTTGCAATTAGGTACGTTCATCTTAATCTGATTATGAGTCGGTTCGACTCTTAATCGGAAAAGTAAATATCTACTGTAACAAAATGAAATTTAATTTTTTTGAGTAATGAGTGTCATGTTTTTCACTTAATAAACAACATATTTATAGAAAAACAGTTTAAGAGAACAATGAAGATGTATTTCTTTTATGTAAGAAAAACATAAAAGTGTTATGATTTTTGAGCACATTTAGAAAGTGAGTTTTTTTATGTAAGAGAAAGAGAAATCAAAAACAACAATTGATTCTTAAAAAAGGAATGCAATTGAAAAGCTGGAAAAATGTGTAAGTTGCTTAATTACATTCTCCTTTATACCTTGAGAAGTCCGGACTTCACGAAACTGATACAATGACATTATAATGACACTATCTGTAAACTAGATTATTTGTGTTGACTTTAAGTTTACTATCATACCCGCACCGAAGTTTCTTCGATTATTATCTATTAACTGGCGATTTTGTGGTCGAACAAAAAACTGTTCTTTTATTAATCATATATCTGGTGAATTTTTGGTCGCAGAGTAGAATAATCGATGATATGGAGAAAAAAATCCATTAAAAAACTTTAATTTTATGTCGATTATATTGGAATAATAACAGATTATAATAGATTCCCGCACCGAGCGCCATTGATCGATAATATTGTCATAATATGGTCCGAAATAAACTGACAAAATAATCGATTATAATCCATTAAAAATGGATTATAATCCTATTAGTTTTTTGTCAATATAATCCATTATAATAGATTTTAATCGATTATAATGGATTTTTTCGAGGGGTTATTCATGAAATTTACAGTTAGTTTAAAGTTATCTTATTTCCTGTTTGGTGCAGTTGCTACGTATTACTTTTCACAAAATGTTACTTTTCAGAACAAAATTTCTATACTTTTTGGTCTCTGTTTTTAAATTCATCGCAGTTTATCACTTCATTTTACTGTTTTTTTAACAAACCCCCCCTTAGTTTAAACACCCCCACCCTCAGTTAGGCCCCCAGTTAACTACCCCCACCAGTTTAGTACCCCCCCCCCCCCCAGTTTACTCCCCTCCCACTATTTACCTTCCCCCCAGTTTCCACTTTATCCCCCCCCCCCCGGTTATGCCCCCCAGTTTACACCCCCCCCCCCCGTTTACCCTACCCCTTCAGTTGGGGGGGAGGGGATAAAAAGCTTGAGGGGCCGAAGGGATGACGCTGAGGCACTCCCGCAAACTTTGCAATATTTTGCAAAAATAATCGAATTTAGACGAAAAGTCAGTTTTTCAGACAATAAAATCCATTTTTTTGACAACATAATTGATGTTTTGGGCCCTAGATTTTACTGCAGTTTTATGGCGATAGCAATAGTTTTTGTTGCGATTATTTGGCAGTTTTATGGCAAATACAATAGATTTTGTTGCGATTTTATGACAAAAACAATAGATTTTATAGCAATTTTATGGCGATTTCAGGGCGAAAAAAAATAGATTTTGCTGAGATTATGTGGAGATAAAAAAACATTTTAGTGGAATTATAAGGCAATATAATCTTCATGAAAATAATCTATTTTCTTTCTATTAAAATAGAAAATGATGCTCAAATTGGTTACACATAATCGATTATAATGGCAAGATTTTCCGCAACATTTTCTCAATATAATCTATTTTTATCCGAAAACTTCAGTGCGGGTAAAAAATAGATCAAAGAAAATAAGCAAATTGTCCGCTCCATCAGGTAGGACATCATTTAAATTGATCTGGAAGCACTGGGTTGACAGAGTCAATAAGTTAAAGCATCAAAAACACTAATTGTCGATATTCAAG